GTACCGAAGTGAGATGCACCTAAAGTCTGTGGTTATTACAAGCGTGTGAGATTATAGACATAAAGATCAGTAACTACTCCTCGTGAAGTCTGAAGCTTCTAAGGAGCCCTTGTGATGCTGACTTGCGTGTCGTCGGCACTCTGTCCCCCCCCTCCCTGTGAGCTGTGGTGTTCCACAAGGAAGCATATTAGGTCCGTTTACAGGGTTTTTAATTAAAAAATTAAGTAATTACCGGCTAACGGAAACCCTGGTCCGTTACTGTTCCTAATTTATGTAAATGACATGTCATCAGCATGTGACTGCAACTTGTTCCTGTTCGCGGACGACTCAGCCCTGCTGGTCTCTGACAGGAAACGGGTTGGCAGGTTGAAAAAACCCTCAGCTCCGAGCTCGGCAGAATCTGCACCTGGCTCGCCGATAATAAATTATCATTACACCTGGGTAAAACAGAGTCCATTCTCTTCGGTTCGAAACATAATCTCAGCAAATCCGACGACTTCTCAGTTGCAGTGGGCGACATTATTGTCACAAGTAAGAAGGAAATTACATACCTAGGATCTATTCTTGAGGCAAACCTCTCCTGTGACAAAATGGCATCCAATGTAATAAAAAAAGTCAATCAAAGAACTAGATTCCTATACCGGATCTCCTCTCTGGTAAACAAAAACACCCTGAAAACTCTGGCAGGAGCACTCATTCAAGGGTACTATGACTATGCTTGCACGTCATGGTACCATAGCACCTCCAAGGCGCTAAAAATAAAACTTCAAACATCGCAAAATAAACTGGTCAGACTACTGCTTGACCTTTCATCTAGAACCCACCTCACCTCTGCCCACTTTGACAACCTAGGATGGCTTAGAGTAGACGACAGAGTACAGCTACTTGCAATGGGCCATGGTCTACAAGATCCACTACACCTCTATGGTACCCATGTACCAGGGTTTCCGTTAGCCGGTAATTACCGGTTTTTAGCTGGTAAAATGTATTAAAAACCGGTAAATTCAAAACCTGCCGGTCAAAATGTCTGGTAATAATTAGGGAGGCTCCGATAGATCGGCCGCCGGTCATTATCGGCCGATATTCACTCTTAATTGTTTGATCGGTGCTCTCTATAAAGGCCGATCAGGAGAGCTGGATCTGATCGATATGGACATAAACGCGAGTGAAGTGTAACCGGACCCGAGAGAGAGATCAGATCAGCTGCTGAGTCTGACCGAGACACGCAGCTCTGCATAATCACCTGAAGCCCCGCCCTCTGTTTAGCGAGCTGCAGGAGCTGCATGAGAAACTGACGGGCTGTCAGAGAGAGAGGAGGGAGAGGGGAAAAGAGAGCATCCGTTTCTCCCTGTTATTATTCAAAGTTAATGTAAACTTTTGAATAATGTACGTTATCTACAAAATTCATTCCCAAAGGTCAAGGAATACCATGATCATAACACCAGAGGGAGCTCCACAAATCATAGTGAAACCCAGATTTGGCACAAAAAAAGGGGGAATACACGTTTCGCAATTATGCCACATCAAGGTGGAACGCTCTTCCCACAACTGTAAAGGAAAGTAAAACTATTACTTACCTTCAAAACCTCTCTTAAAGAGCACCTTCGGGGGAGAGCATTGCAAAACTGGCCCCGGTAATGGTACAAATCTCAACCTGTCGTTCAATGGACAGCTTCCCCCCCCCCTATCTATGTATATACTCGCATTTTAGACTCTGTTACTAACTGTATATCTGTAGACTTGGTATGTCTTAAATGTCCGGTTAGGATGTATTAGAACGAAATCTAAAATGAAAATTGTAAACAAGCAATCTGTATGTAAAAAAACCACCTGTATGTAAATTGTAAATAAGCCATCTTGTATGTCAAATATGTCTTATATGTCTTAAATGACATGATGAATTGGAAATGGGGGACCCTGATGTAAACAAGACGAAAGTCTTTCTCTGGTCTGCATCCCCTTAACAATTGTATGTTTTGAGCTGTACTGTACTGTACCCAATATACAAGCTGTTAATAAACTTTTCAATCAATCAATCAAACCACTCTATAAGGCAAGCTAACAAGTGCTAATATGTAGCATGAATACAACATTTTAAAAACATTACTACAGAGCTTAGATAAAAAAAACAATGGACCCAACTACTGTATCGTTCTTGGAAGGAGGATCTGGTGGATTTTGGAAGCTTTCATTGCTTCAACATTATTTAATTTCTGCACTCATGTTAACAACAAATAGTGGCATTTTCTTAGCAAGGATGTACAAGAAATCAGTGATGTTATTTTGTCTATTGTTGACTACAGGTTCAGCTGTTGCCAATGTTTGTATAACTTTATTGGAATTTTTTATTATGTTACTCGCAGAATGGAAAAAGATAGAGTGGAGGACAGAAGATAGTTGATGAAGGATGGATGGAAAAAGGGTTTGTCATGCATGTCATATTAGGGGAAGGGGACTGTTTATGTTTTTGAGGAAGGATTAAATGTCCCCTAATCCATTATGAGCCCTGTACCCCATTTCATATAATATCCCTAAAGAGGTCGGCCCGGACTGTCACAACAACAGCATGTGACCCTCAATCGGATATGATAGCTGCACAAGGAATTAACCCCAAAATACTGGGGTCGGGCTGCCAGACTGAATTAGTCTTTGGTGTGTGTGTGTGTGTGTGTGTGGTGTGTGTGTGTGTGTGTGTGTGTGTGTGTGTGTGTGTGTGTGTGTGTGTGTGTGTGTGTGTGTGTGTGTGTGTGTGTGTGTGTGTGTGTGTGTGAGAGAGAGAGAGAGAGATACATTCACTTGCATCTCTTGTCAACAGCTATACTGTGTACAGAAGCAGTTTCGTACATTTGGGTCAAATCTTAATGCTTGATTAGTAATGTAACTGATTAAAATGAGGTAAATTACAAATGTTATAATGGTGCATTAGATTTGTTTTGGACTAATTGTCAGACAAGAGTTTATCTTTTCACATTTATATGTTTGATGATATTTTACAAGCTTATTTTTAAACACTTCTTGGGGATGAAAACTGGGAAACTTTGGTGATAAGCGCTGGTCTCTTGGTCGTCTGTTCCACCATTTTACAGACAGAAATATTTTAACAACTACTGGATGCATTTCCATAAATGTTGCTTTCAATGTTCATATTCAACACAGGACCAGTTGGTTTAATTTGCTCTGCTGTGTCAAAATTCCTCACAAAGCTGCCAGCATGATTGCAGAGATGGTCTTTTGGAGTATCATTAAGCACTTATTGCGAGTTTATTTATCACCAAGGTTTCACCTGAGATATGATGACAGCATAGACATCAGTGAGACAACATGAAGACCGATGGAAAGACAAATATCCCACTTTATTAGATTCGGTGGATTTGAAGATACAACTGAAGTGAGCCCAAGATTAAACTTCATAACGGATTTGATGTATTTTGTTATTGTTTTCCTGTCCAGCTCATATTGGCATCACAAAGGGGAATAGGTCAAACCAATCGTCCAGTGAAATCAGATAAAAGCAGAAAGGTCGGCAGTGTGAATGTAATCCTATTGTGCTCATAATGAATATGTGCGGATCTGTGAGGCAGGAATAGAGATGTGGAAAGAGAAAAGAAAGAGATTTCACAGGTGCTTGGTGCTTATTCAAAACCTTTTTTGGCATCATGTTTTCTGGAGGATACATTGTTCACATAGTGTTCCCAATAAATGTCAGAAATTATAGAAAGGGTTCATATTTTATACGATTCACACACACACACACACACACCACACACACACACACACACACACACACACACACACACACACACACACACACACACACACACACACACACACACACACACACACAAAACATCTCCTGTTGCCCAGCCCCTCTCTCTTTATGCTTTTTTGTGTGTGTGTGGAAGAATGCCCACGACCCCCACCACCACCATTACCCTCGGGGCCCTTGGGCATTCATCACCGTGTGCACCCCGACCCCCCCACCCATTTACCCCCCTTTCACCCAGACACCCCCCACGTTTTCCTCTCCTCACCCTCCCCCCTTTTGTTTGCTTCTCTGTGTCACACCATCACACAAAGCTGCTTGTTTTGACGGCATCAAAAAAACACTTTTATTTTTGCATAATCTCAAACTACTACTTCTACACACACACACACACACACACACACACACACACACACACACACACACACACACACACACACACACACACACACACACACACACACACACACACACACACACTGAAGTTAAGCTCCTTCGAAATTTCCCTAGAGGGGAAAAGGGAAGAGTGCTACTCCTATTGAGATCCAACACGGTGATGAATAGCAGATACAGGGAGGAGGTGGACAGTGAAAGAGGAAGTGGATAGATCGGAAAAATGTCCCAAAAGTTGAAGTTGGAAGAAGGTGGAGGAGGGAAGAAAGAGGAAGAGGAGGAGACATGTTTCCAGGAAGGAAGAGGAACAACAGTATCAGGGAATGGTAAAGGTGGAAGTGAAGAAGGAAGGAAGGAGGGAAGTGTAAGGAAGGGAAATGTCTTTGTTAAGGTTTTGGAAAGAGGACAACATTCTGTGTCGATTAAATATATATTTAAATTGTAAAAAAATTACAGTGAAAAGGAGTTTGGGGAGGAGAAACATTGATGCTTTGTAAATATGAAAAAGTAAGAAAAGAGAAAGACATTTGGGAACAATGAATAAGATGGAAGTAAGATGTGGATTTGAGAGGAGAAGAGGAAGAAAACAAATTGGAAAGACGACAAGGAAGTTCAGAGAGGACAACAACTAATGGCAAATATAATATAAGTGAGGATTAAGATGAGAAATATCCGAAACAAAAGATAAACAAATAAAAAAATGACTAGGAAGAGGAGATAGTTAACGCTTAGAAGATCGAAGAAACAGGAGAAGTTTTAGGAAGTAGGAAGGATGGAGTAGGAGAAGGAGGAGGAGGGAAGCGTCTTAGGAAAAGGGGGGAGGAGGAGGAAGGGGGGGGCATCAACAACCATCTTTCCCCCTCCCCAGATGGTGAGAAGGCTGGAGAGCGCGCTGCACTCCACCGTGCGTTTTGTTCCAGCCACAAAGTGCCCAAAGCTCCGATCCGTTCCGAGCCAAAGCAAGCCAAACCGGACCACGGCGTGCGTCCCTCTTTACGCATCCCCCGCCTCCAACCACCACCACCTCCTCCTCCTCCCCGACCGCGTTTCTGTGGCAATGGAGCCGTAACCAACCTCTTAACTGAGCCGAGCGTGAGAAATAGCGACGGACACAGAGACAGCTGAGAACAAGCGGCTATGGAGGAGAAGCGCAGGGAGGCTGGAGTCTAGACAAATTAAAACACACCCGGATTACTTTTTTGCAACATTTTTTAACTCTAGTACCGCTATAAAAGCAGGGATTTCCCGGTTTTATTTTTCTCTCATCTCTATTATATCATTGCACGGTGAGGATGCAGGGGAAGGAGAGGAGCTTCTGCACGGGATGCTGGAGAATAACGCTGCTGTTCTGCGTCCTGGCTCTGCACTTGATGCCGCTGTCTGTCCACGGTAAGAAACTGCCCTTCACCGTGCACTGAAATCATGCAAACACATTTAAAACCCGTCCACTTCTCGAAAAATGTGCTTCAAAATTGCTGCAGCAGCATCTGAGGAGCCAGGGTACCTAAACACACTCCCACAGGGCAGCCAGAAAGGAGGTCAGTGAGCCTCGGATTGTGGGTTAGCAGGCGCTGCACACTCAACTGGTATTGATAGATATTGGATAGTAACATTATGTGACATTATTCTGTACTTTATATTGGTTTTAAATCTCCCACTCAATGCAAACTGAGTATTCAATTGGATTGTGGAGAATCTGTCCTCAGAACATTTGAATAATCCACATTTTGGATGGACAGTAGAGCAAATATTGCCTTAATATGATACTGTAGTAGTAAAATAATCTTGCATTGATATAGTGGACACATTTCAGGGCGAAATCACTATAAAATACTCAGTCCCTGCAGGAATATTTGTCACAGGAGAGACAAACTGAAATGAGGTCACAGTAAAGACACATCTAAGCCCTTATGGATATTATAGAGACACAAGAGGGGGTAACAATGAGGTCAATTTAAACCCATTGGACACCATAGACGCACTGCAAAACAGAATATAATGGAATTAATTCAACTATTGTGAGACCCCAAAGAGATATCTGAAGACATGAGTACAGAATGAGTTTACTATGAGCTCAATGCAGGAAGATTACACAACATGGCGGGTTAAAAATGACAATTTAACTCCACACACCACAGGAAACACCGGTAACACACTACTGAGGCTTTTTTCAGCAAAATCCGGTCATTAAATGAACACTGGATTATTGCAGTCACATTTAAAGCCACAGTCGGAGGAGAAATTACAGAGATGTGTGACAGTGACAGCGTCCAGCCGATGCAGTAAAGCAGATCCCTGGAGGCACACTGGCACTACAGCCACACAAAGGCGAGGATTAGTGCTGGGGGGACTTTATGAATAATGCATGAAGGGATGTGGATGGACATTCTGATACACAGAGGGGGGAAAAACCCACCAGAGTAAACATAAAAAAAAGACATGGAGGCTTTCTTCCCCTCTCTGTCTCTTTGTCTGAGATTCATTGCACACGGCGAGCTACATTACTGTCAGATTAATAATGCAGCAGCGTGCACGGGATGAAATCAGTCTGGCGTTATAATCTAATATAATCTGGTTGATTCCTTTCATTGCACCGGGTACAATTCATGCAGTGTGATGTCAAGGTGAAGCCTCCACTAAATAATATGATGTTTTTTCATGGGTGTTTTATTTGGAGCGAGAAAAATTGAAGATAAGGGGGGGGAAATCCCATTAGAGGAACATCCAAGAGCATTGAACGCTAATCTGAGCCAATAATGATGTGCAGACTGACCAGTTGATCAACTATTACTTTGGTGTGCCCTTCAAATGCCACAAGTTTTAGGGTTTTTTATTTGCCTTTGAAGGAGCAAGTGGATTTATTCCCCATTTACCAACTTAATGTTTTATAGAAATGTAAAACAAATTGTATTCCAAGCAGAGTTCCATAGTTTGTAGTGTAATCCACATGCAAACTGTGGCAACATTGTGTACATTATTTGGCCTGTTCTCCATTAAATCAAAGTTTGACACCCAAGAAGTGGAAGAAATGATCGATGCCATTGGGTGTTGGTTGAATATGAAGCTGCATCCAGTAGGTTAGCTTAGCTTAAAGAATGGAAACAGGTGGGGACGCCTAGCATGGTGCCAAGGTAAAAAAAAAACACCACATTTTTGAATTTCACTTATTAACAAAACGTCCACTTTGTAAATGCAAAAAATTGCTGCAGCAGCAAATGTTCCGTTATTCTGCAGTTCTATTGGTTTGGACATTTCCCAGTCAATGCAATCTTATAAGTAAATTGGATTTTGGAGAATTAGCTTAGCATAAATATTGGAAGCAGGGGGAAACTGCTAGCATTGATTATCCTAATACCTTGCAAATTTGACTTATTAACATGTAAATCAAGAGCTGTCGCCTCCAGGTCGCCTCACAGGAAGAAGACCAATTAGCTCTTCACCCCCCCCCCCCCCCCCCAAGGGATGTTTGCGTCACTTTTCATGGATGCTGCGGGGACTTTGTGTTAGCTTGACCTCAGGTGGATATTTAACAAAAAGGGGTTGGCAGATCTAGTGCAGACGCCTTAAAACTACCTTGGGCTAACCCTCCACCCCCTTCACACACACACACACACACACACACACACACACACACACACACACACACACACACACACACACACACACACACACACACACACACACACACACACACACGCGCACACACACACTCTCGCTTCACCGGTGGAGTGTGGAGTCGGCAGCTTGCCCCACATCTGTGAACGACGCTCAGACGACCAAAGCCAACCACCCCGACTTGACATCAGCCGACCAGAATACTGTCAGTCATTTCCTGCCGGCTTTTTTCTCCGGTGGCCATTTGCAATCCTCCTCGTCCTCTTTCAGTGTGTGTATGTGTGTGTGTGTGTGCGGGTGTGTGTGTTGTGTGTGTGTGTGTGTGTGTGTGTGTGTGTGTGTTGTGTGTGTGTGTGTGTGTGTGTGTGTGTGTTAATACAGATGATATGCCGGTGTCCCTCCCTTACACCCTTCCCCCATGCACCGTTAAGCTAGTAGATAGGTGATTGGCAGACGAATGGTTTCTGCACTGAAACTCATGGACATACATGCCCTTCTCCTCCTCTTCCTCCGGCCTGCTGACACATATCTGCATGCCGGCAGATTATCTTTGATTAAGCCAACCCCCACCATCCCCCCACATGACACTATCCTGCCTTTTTTATTGCAGTGTGCAGAAGGACAAAAAAAAAAAAGAATAAAGATTACCAATCATAAAGACTAATGTCGTCCGTCTACAGCTTCGGTTTATCATTGGTGAACAATGTCTTTTTTCTATTCGCTGTCTCTCTCGCCTCTGCATCGTCTCCGTCGCCATGGAAACCACGCACCATCCCATTGACACCGGCTGGCAGCACAGTTTGTGCATATCGCCGCCATAATGTGTTCACGCTTAGAATGTCATTAGGGCTCAAAACGTTGGCTGAGTTTTGGCACACGATGATATGAGTGGTGGCTCTACGCCTACAGACCATTGCTGTGTGTGTGTGTGTGTGTGTGTGTGTGTGTGTGTGTGTGTGTGTGTGTGTGTGTGTGTGTGTGTGTGTGTGTGTGTGTGTGTGTGTGTGTGTGTGTGTGTGTGTGTGTGTGTGTGTGTGTGTGTGTGTGTGTGTGTGTGTGTGTGTGTGTGTGTGTGTGTGTGTGTGTGTGTGGCAATGGGGTGTAGTCCATCAATACTCTAGCTCTAATTTCTCGATGATATCATTTCCCGTCGTATTGGTGTATTAATTATTTCTGCAGGATGATTTCATGCTCGTTGACTGTGTGGGATTTGCAGCAGATGTACAAATGTCCCTGTCGGCCGTGCAAACATCTCTGTTTTGACTCTTATAATGCAAGAAGGAAAAAATGTACTCCTCATTTCTTAAAGTATTGCCTGAAGCGTTCAACGGGAAGCAGAAGAAGTGAGACAACAAAGTCTGTACATGTTATATCATCTTTCTAAGTGACGGAGTGACAGACATTTAGAGCAGCCAGGAGTAATGTCTGAATATTCATATTTCATTTTGAAAACTTCTCAATCTGCTGAGCATCATTTAAGCAGAGTGACGTTTTTTATCCGGCTGTACTTTGAATCTGATAACAGTCACTCATTAAATCATACATTTTATTGAGTGCACATATTTGGGACCTGAGTTGGGATTTGACCGAGTACATTTCCGCAAGTAACGTACAATGTTGAGGTACTTATTCTTCGGTTGAGTACTTTGATTTTGTATTTCAATATCTTCGCATTGTGAAAGCCCAACATACTCTTCACTTAATCTTCACAAATGCGCAATAAACAAAGTTAAAGATGAATTTGAATGATTATAACGGAAGTATTTTAAAATGTTCTGTATATATTTTGCTGAATTTATAACATTTTTGTAAATTCTCCGGCCAAGATATCCGTGTAGACCATATCTAAAATTGGGACAGCCCTAATACATACATTAAAGACATGGTCATGGTTAAAGGATTAACAAATAGTTCAGACAATTTCCAGTTAATGTCATTCATTTATTTTGCAAAAACAAGAAGATATTAACTTGCTTTTAAACTCTTATTTTCTGCTTTGCTCTGTTTCATATGATTATACATTTGTTTTGCTCTGTTATTAATCAGACAAAGCAAGCTATTGGATCTTATTTTCTTGCATTTGACGGATAAAAAACTAATTAAAATGTACTTGAGAATGTAAATCACCGCTTGCAGCCCATATCACCGTCATAGGTGTTTTTGGACAAAAAAACGAAAGCAAATCAACTTTATTGACAGTCTCTTCTCCCTCAAACCTTTCTCGTAGCACTCCTTTGGGATCTGTTGAGCTAATATGTCCGCCATCCCAGATTAATCTGATTGTCGGGAACTACGTGATCCCAATCTCATTTGTAACATCCTCCCACCTGGATCTGCTGCAGGCCAACATCAGCATATATGATCAGTGCCATAGGCCTGACCCCACCGGCTGCTGTGTGTGTGTGGTGTGTGTGTGTGTGTGTGTGTGTGTGTGTGTGTGTGTGTGTGTGTGTGTGTGTGTGTGTGTGTGTGTGCAAACATACTGTAATATACAGTATGTATGTTAGTGCATTTCAGCCTCCTCTGAGGTGTGCAAATGTTTGTTTTTCACAATTTTAAATATGTGATAACAGACCGTAGTTAAATGCAATGCAGTATATAATCTAAATTGTCCTTCAGTAATTATTTAGTGTATACACTAAATAATTACTGAAGGACAATTTAGATTAACTTGTACTTAACGGTGGGGGTAGGTAATTTCACTTCAGAAAACACTTGTTATATTCCATGGAATGCTCTTAACATCCCGCGATAGCAATGAATACATGAAATGC